ATATCATGAGGAGTGTTGGATACAAATTAATGAGGTATTACCTTTTTATGATTTAAATCTTTTGAAGCAAACTAAGCTAAATGCATTCTTTATTATAGAGGTTTTTAAGATCAAATATGAACATATGAGAAGACAATATTATTTTACAAACTGGTCTCAAAAACAACACTATGGTAAATAATATACATTTAAGACATTGTGTTTTCATTTTTAGAATCATTTAAATACACCCTTCCCCATCAAATGCTTTTTTGTATTTTTCTCTGGTTTCAGTAACATGATGTAACACTTTGGGATGAAGATACAAACCAGCAGTCCAAAGCTAGAAGCAAGAATGGCAAAGATTTCTACAGCAACACTAAATTTTCCAGGAGAGCTGACATACGCTGGGATAAAAGTGATCCATACTGCACAGAATATCAACATGCTGAAGGTGATAAATTTTGCTTCATTAAAATTATCAGGTAGTTTTCGAGCCAGAAAAGCAAAAATGAAACATAATATAGCAAGAAGTCCAATGTACCCAAGTACAGCCCAGAAGCCTACTGCTGAGCCCAGAGCACACTCCAAAATGATTTTGTCTTTATATTGTTCAAAATTCTTAAATGGAAAAGGAGGAGAAGTGGTTAACCAGAGAATACATATGATGACTTGTATAAAAGTTAAACAAAGAACACTGAGTCTCTGCTGTGTAGGCCCAAACAGTTTCATCACATTACTGCCTGGAAGTGTGGATTTAAACGCCATTAAAACCACCATTGTTTTCCCCAGAACACAGGAGAGGCAAAGGACGAAGGTGATGCCAAAAGCTGTGTGACGGAGCATACAGGACCACTCAGAGGGACGTCCAATGAAGGTCAGAGAGCAGAGAAAACACAGAGTCAAGGAGAAAAGCAGCAGGAAGCTCAGCTCAGAGTTGTTTGCTCTGACAAGAGGAGTTTTCTTGTGTCTGAAGAAAATCACAGCTACAGCAGCCGTCATACATGTTCCAAATAAAGAAACTGTAGTTAAAAGTGCTCCCATTATCTCTTCATAGGATAAAAACTCTGCCTCTTTCCTTATACAGGCATCTCTTTTTTCATTTGACCAAAATTCATGAGGACATTTCTTACAGGTGATAGAATCTGTAAAGGAAAATTGAAACAAAATTCATAATTGAATCTATGTTTTATTTGTTTTTTTCTTTTAAACGTCAATCGTATCACATGACAGACATCAAAGTTGAACTAAGCCCTGTTCTTAGAAACTGAGAGTAGAAAAGAAGTTTTCTTTCTCCAGTGGCTTCGACTTAAAGTATGGTTGACCAGGACTACCAAATAATCTGTAATTCCTTAACCCTCCTGTTATGATGCGGGTCAAATTGACCCGTTTTAAAGTTTAAACATTTTTTAAAAACAGTTTAAAGTTTTTTTTTCTGCATGAAACTTTTACTATTTGTCTTACTT